AGAACGTTGCTGATCATGGCTCTCCACAACGTTCTCAAAACATTCTAAAATAAAGACAAATCTTAATTTTTATCAAAAGAAAAAAATGAAATGTGATCAGTGATGAAAACCAGTAAAAAGGACCCTATCCATGTTGCTTACCGTTGATATTACTTTTCATAGGCGCTAACCGAAAAGGCATAACCCTGAATTTCCATAGATGTGAAATTATGGACACCCATGTCGAAAGGAATGTTGTTTTTTTTTTTTTTTTATCGATCTGAAGAATTTATGCTTGATATCTAGCAGATGTTAGCTTTTGGTGTTCAGTTTTCTAAGCGGCATCCAATTTGACCGAAGTGTAACGTGTAAGTAAAGGAGTGGTTGAAGGGTTTTTCGAGACCAACGGTCAACAAAACCGGAAATACGGTATATCCGTGTGCTTGAGATCGGGTAGAGTTCCGGTTCGCATATGTAAATGAATGTAATGAATTCCAGTCGAATCCTTTACCTTCACTTACGTGCTAATACCCTTGTGAAAGGTATGAATCCTCTTCTTCTTCACCCACCTCCCGCAGCTATGACAAGGTTCTATAGCCTTGGCAACTGGTCTACCGCAGAATTAAAAAGGCAACCTACTGCGGAAAAAAAAATCTGACTCGTCAGTCACGTATCGAAAGATACATGATCGCCTAAGCGTGTATCACACATGGCACATAACTGACTGACATGGTGGGAGACGAATTGTCCGTTTCGTGGATCCTATGCCGCCCATTCGTATTACCAGCCACCACGTGGGGATAGGTATATGGGAGAGGGGTTGTTAGGGACAGGGAAGCTGCGCTTTTAGATTAACATAGCAGAATTTGTCCCAGGTATCCACCCAGAGGAGCAGGCGAAGCCCTCAATAAAGCGTTTATTTTATAATATGGGGAACATGGTCCACGTTCTTATTCTTCGACGTGGCGTTCGTCTTTCATCTTGTTACATTGTGAGCATGCAGCGACCCTTTTCCCAGTTTTCGATGTACACCGACAAGATTGAGAATCGGAATGCAACTTGAGGTGATCATTGGCCGGTCGGTGTAAAGCTTGGGTGAGGGTCGCTCTGTATGTATACACAAGATACCATTGCTAGTTAACATTATCTTGCCTCTATCATGTCAAAAAGAAACTATCAGGTCATCCCATAAGTCCGAATTTTACCTTTTTTTAAAATGAACGAAATTTAAAGAGTATTTTATAATGTCTAATGGAGCTGAACATTATTTTTACGTTTAGATGCATTTAAACTGATCCAATTTTATTTCAGAGAACAATAAAATTAAATTTTGTTTGATTCAAACCCTGCTAACATGGAAGTACCCAAGAATCATTTGAGGCACATAATGCTTTAGGAGTTCAAGAAAGGAAACTCAGCAGCCGAAGCCGCTAGAAACATTCACTCAGTTTATGGAGAGGAATGTGTGAATTAAAGAACTTGAAGAAGATGGTTTGCAAAATTCAGAGGTGGAGATTTCACCCTCGAAGATAAAAATCGAACCGGACGTCCAGTTGAGTTTGATGAAAAGCTTCTTGAAGCAGCCCTTGAAGAAAATCCTGCTTCACCAGTTGAGGAATTGGCAGTAGTACTCAGTTCAAACCATACAACTGTTCATCCTCATCTTCAACAACTTAGAAAAGTTCCTAAACTTGGAAAATGGGTGCCTCATGAATTGTCTGAAAACAACCTCAAATCCCGAGTTGACATCTGCTCTTCTCTCCATTCTCAAAATTGTTTCAACTTTTTTTTTTTTAGACTTATGACTGGCGACGAAAATGGATCTTTTATTGAAATGTTAAGGGTCGTAGACAGTGGCTTGGTAAAGGGGAAGGACCCCAGCCACAGCCGAGAAGGGAACTTCATGGGCAAAATGTTCTTCTTTCAATCTGGTGGGATCGCCAAGGAATAATCCACTTTGAATTCTTATCACCTAATGCAACAGTTAATGCTCAAATATACTGTCAGCAATTAGGGCGTTTGAATCAAGCTTTGAGGAAAAAAGACCTGATCTAGTGAATCGAAAAGGGGTGATGTTTCATCAGGACAATGCGCGATTCCATACAGCAAAAATCACGTCACAAATGATCGAAGAACTTGGTTTGGAGAAAATTCCTCATCCACCTTATTCTCCTAATCTTGCTCCTTCAGACTACCATTTGTTTCATAGCTTACAGAATCATGTGGAAGAAACAGCTTTTGTAACACAGGAAGAGGTTAAAACTGACATTTGTGAGTTCTTCGAATCAAAGCCAAAAGAATTTTACAGTAATGGAATTAGTAAGCTTGTTAATAGATGGAAGGAAGTCATAGATAATCAGGGAAAATTGTTGATTGAATGTGTAATTAAATGTGACATTTGGTCACTTGTTTTCTTTATTCAAAATTCGGACAGAATTTATGGGATGACCTGATAGTTGTGGGAGTAGGTGATTGAAAGATATCAATTTCTATGGCTGAAAATCCTAATAATCAGCGCTCTAAGGATAAATATTTTACTTGCAATCAAGGCCATAATAACTGCCGGTTTATATTTCTATACGCTTACGGAAGTTAAAGCTAAATCTTTAAAATCCGTTTACAAATGCAAATATACCGGCAAACAGATAAACGATGCATATACCCAGCATCAGAAATCGACAATTGATGTTTCTAGGGGACATAATGAGGTAAGACGGCTTAGAAAATTTGATACTCACAGACCAGATTGAAGGTAAGAGAAACAGAAGAAAACAACCTGGCAAGCTTGGGTAATTGGATAGAGGAGCAGGTTTTAAGAGAGATAACAAAAAGAAAAAAATATTAAGAGCTACAATGGACAGGAAATGGTGGAAAACCATGATCGCTAACGTTCTGAAGGAACATGGCACATACTACAGAGACTCCCAATTCTGGAAGCTCTCATAATAAAAAATGAAATAAACCAATGCTATACATGTTCGGATTTTGGTGTCACGTTTTCCATCCTCTGTTAAAACACTTCCTAGATATTTTAATTTTTTTTTTTTATGTTGACATCTCCAGTCCGTAGTTCGCGTCTTAGACTGTTTTCTCTGGCTAATGATCATACATTCTATCTTCTTGCAGTTGAGGATTAGTCTTTTCTTCTCTCTTTCCTTTACTACCCTGTCTAGAAGTTACTCTGATCCCAATTACAAGGGAACATTGCAGACACGTTGTATTTTGATTGGAGGATTATGTGACGTTGTGGTGACGTTACTATAACCATTGCAATCAACTATGTTCCTGACACCAAACCGCTCATCCCCAACGTTACGGTAACGCTGCGAAGTGCTGTAGCTGAAAATTTCCACATTGGTCAATTATAATATCAGAAAGGTTTTCATTTTTTTTTTTTTGACCGGAAGCCCCCATAAACGATTTTGGACTTCAGACAGATTGTTCCACTTTTTTTCTATGTCGTGGTAAAATTTTCCATTTAATGTATTTTCGTCTGATGACTAATTTTTGAGGTAATTCTCCAATGTTAAAACACCATGAACAATATATGATTGTAAATATAGACATAAAAGTGAAATATGTGAGCATTTAAATTTGTATCTGCAACATACCCAGTTAACACGAAACGGTCTTGCAATGCTGCAATTGCAATGTGACACTGAGGCTGTGAGGTGGTTAAACATTAATTCTAAGAAGAAAAAGGGGCTAAGCCCGAAATGAAATATAAACTGGAAGATAGAGAGACAGAAACAGAGAATTCAAGAAATTTTTCCTAGTAATGTGAAAGTGAAGAAAGGGACAACTGAGTTGCCACATCTCTATGAATTGCACCAAGAGTTTACTTATTTTTATCTATCGAAAATCTGGCATGCGGGTAAAACAAAATGGAATATGGCTTTATCTCTTTTCCTGGGAAATTAGAAAAACACATCTCACTAGCGAAAAGAGAAGCAGATTGGAATTATATTTTCATTAGCGAAAACGAATTGAGAAATGAAAACAGAATGGACCCGCTGTGCGGGTTAGTATTATGAAAATCGATCCATTATAACAGGCAGGTGATCTGGTTTATGTTTTAGCTAAGATGGCGACCGGCCCAATGATGGAAAACAGCGTATCACTTTGTTGAGAATTTAGGTAAAACATATATTTTCATTGACGAAAACAAATTGGGAAATAATTTTTATCTATCGCTTGGAAGGTTAATATCAGAAGGTGATCTGATTTGGTTTTTCGCTGGACAGGTGGGTCCAGTAAAGAAGTCAAAGAATTAAAATTAATAAGGAGAATAAACCACGCCATTTCTCCTTTAATAATTAGATTTCTCACAAAGACAGTCATGCAAGACTTGAGAAGTGGGCAGTTAGAATACAGAGAAGGAAAGAGGAAGGGGCAGATTTTAGCCCCGCCATTGCGCAGTAGAAGTAGAAGTGAAGCAGGTTGGAGTTAAAGGAGGAGCAATTTCCGTGAGTATTTCCAAGGAAGGTGGATAATTCTCATAATTTAAAAAGTTGATCAAGAAAACAGAATTAGGAAAAAAGAAAACATTTATTAGAATTAATGAAAACTGGGGAATCACGGAATCCCTTGAAGCATTCGGCCCTACGCCAGTGTTGGTCGAAGTGCATATAAGCAGATGACTTTAAGGAGCTTGGAATTCACGCCAGCTGCCACCAGATTTCCTGATTCCAAGTATTCGCAACGTTACAAGTTAACATTGCAGTCACTCTGTGAGATGAGTTCATGATCGATTGATTAGTTCTTACGGCTTATCAACCTTTTGCAGGTTATTTAAAGTCAGAAAATATTTTTCGATTGTAAGAATTTTTTTGTAGATAATAACGATCTACTAATACAAATCCTACTAATTAACCCATAGCTGGGGAATAATAGGTGGATTCCTACTTTTCCCAAGAGTATTTGCTCGTGAGTGAATAAAACGAAACACAACTGGAATTGGAACTTGGCTCTCCTGTTTCCAATTCCGTGCCGTTATCAATTACACAGCCCACACTTCCATGCTTACAGCACCTGCTATTCTCAAATAGTCACCCATCAAGGTACTGACCAGGCTCGAGTTTGCTTAACTTCGATGATTATATTAGAACCAGTATTCCAACGTGATATGGCCGTAAACTCGAGATATTTAAGCGTTTTTTCTACCTCTGTATAACGTTACAGACATGTTAGTAGCTGGATAGTTATAGTTTATGGAAGGAAAAAGATAATCTGGCGTCTTCAACAAGCTGGTCCTTTCGAACCCTCTGTCACGATGACTTGCAACATTCGTGCTAAGATAAACGCCGTGGACTCTTCAGTAGTTTTGTCTGTAGTACGGATTGCCAGTATATAAGTCTAAATGTAAGTATAAAAGTGTATAAGTGTAAGTAGAAAAGTGTATGTGTAAATGATCCGTTGATCTAGTTTGGGAAAAATGACTATTTAGCTCTCTTCGTTCGTCAGCGAACGTCCATGGAAATATATTAATTTGCTAGTTCTTTCATGGGAACAAAACTGTCTGACACAAGGCTACATTCAATTAAGTGTGATAATTTTTTGCGATTAAAAATAAAAAAAGGAAAAATAAAGAAGTTTAAACCGGCAACATATGAAAAACAAATATATGACCATTTTTTTTTAATCAATTCATCCCAAGCAAGGCGATAATACCGCTAAGAAGCAAGAAGCTACTGGGAGTAAAAAGATAATTAGAAAAATTTAGAAAGAACCGGAGACCCAATCCTAAACAGGAAAGAAAGGATAAATATCTACTCCTGGAGAAAACACTGGAGAGGAGTCTGAACTGGACGACAGGCAAACCTATCTGCTTAAATTTCGTTTTTTTTATTTCAGATTAAAACATAGAACATATCAACATATTTTAATATAATTTCCACTTTCTAAAATTATAGTTTTGAATTATAGTTTAGATATGAGGAGGAAAAGAAGACTTTGTTCGTGTTGCGGCGAATGAGTAGAGTGAGGGAGAATCACAGAGGTTAGGATTGCGCACTCGGGAACTGACGGAGACAAATCTTCGGTTAAACTCTAGCCAGCCTCTCTGCCAGGACAGCAAGTATAAATGAGTAAAGTATACATCCAATAGAGTCGTTCTCCCTTCACTGGGGAGCAGTTTCAGGTACGAACAGGAAACACGTCTACATTGTTTGACGGTTAAGAAACACCTCATTGAAAACCTTTTTTCTATCTATCGTTCTCACGCTGGCCCAGCCAGTCAAAATCGACTTCCTAGTTTTGTCTTCCATATGACCCCTAAGGTCAACTTCAGGAAGTCGGAGCAGCGATACATTTCTTCTAAAATATAATAGTCTGCTAAACTATTATTTAACATACATTACGATCGTCTGTGTATTCTTAAGTTTGATGTTACCCAGGTTCTTTATCAGATATTTTATAGACACATCTGGACAGGAAGAACCAAATCGATGATGTAGTATATTGCTGCTGGGCAATATACTACATCAGCGAACACACATATATATATGTAAAAAATATAAATATCTTTATTTTCGAGTTGCGGCGATTGGGTAGAGTAAGGGAGGATCACAGAGGTTTAGATTGTGCACACAGCAATTGAAGACAATCTTCGGTGAAACTCTAGAAAGCCTCGCTATTTACCTGAGACATTCCCACAACGTGGGATGTGGCACATAGCCGTTTTTTTTTTTACATGTGGTGTTCTAGGGAAAATTGCCCGTAGACCCCGCATACATGGAGTTGGGTAGCTGTCTTCTTCCCCAGACAAGACTTTGCCTTTCAGCATAGCCTCGTCTTGGTTCCTCTCCGCCCAGAGGCAGACAGTCGACAAGCAGAGTTAACTGTAAACATTAAATCCTCTATAGCCAGCCTCTGTCTCAGGTCAAATGTTGGACGGGTTTTATAAAATTTGGACACCCACGTAATTTCACGTGGTTACGCTTTCTTCCGGTATGTCGCCTTTGCAACTTCTTGTGGTCATGCCTCTTCTGGCCATGAACCCACGCAACTTCGTTTGACCACGCCTCTTCCGCCATGCGTCCATGCAATCACGAATTTCCTTCCGCCTCGGACACCTTTGCGCCCTGTTTATTCAAGGCTCAGGACACCTGTGCGTCCTGTTTCTTTTAACCATTTCCTGTTTATGGTATCACCTATTCCGATTTTTGCTCACTCTCTGATGCAGCAGAAGTGAGCTTAAAGGTCTTCTTTAACCAATATCCAGCATTATGACCATTTTACTTAAAGATCATATTTTCTTCATTTCCGATGAAAACCTGGAACGCTACCAACATTTTATTGAATTTTTCACTTACCAATTTTATAATTATAGTTTAGATATAAGGAAAAGAAAGAATGCGTCAGTTTAAACTGACACTAGGAAGGATATGGGTTAATTCTTGACTACCAATTCATCCCCTAGATAATTTTGTTATATTTCAATGGAAGTTAACTGTTATATATATATATATATATATATATATATATATATATAAACCCCGGTAAATCTGCTTCTGGCGTATATTTTGCCGGAAGAATCTAAGTTGAATAGAATAAATAAAATAGTTTTATCAGCGATACAAAGGCTACAAAACCGGTGATACTAGTTGCGTCAGTGATGCGATCTCTATGTTTAGGTGGCCGCGCCTAGAATTATAAATGAATGAATAGTGAAATTTATTTTTCTTACCAAATTTCATAACATTTACGTAAAAATTCTGCTCTGAAAAAAATGCCTTACTTTTGACTAATGGTATGTCATGATCTCCGCTCAAGGAACGACGACATTGTGCCGTCGTATCGATGACACTACTTTGTAGACTCATACCGAGCCACTGTGTTGTAGAGGTCGGTGCGATAGAAGTATAGACAGTTGACTGATACGGCTTGTCTTGACGCCCGTTGGTAATGCAGTAGCAGGCCGGTGAGAATTGATTGCTGAACAAAAGTATAGCTTGTTTAATGTTATTAAACATGTACAGTACTGAATCTTGTGAAGAGATAGGGTAAAGAAAAGTAGACTCTAGAATTGAAACAAGTATTTATTTCATGCGAGTTAAATTAGCGAAGTGACTATCGACTTGATACCCAAGTAATATTAACACATAAAAATCTTTAATAGGAATTATGTTCTGAGGGGCGAAGTCAAGATGTAAACGTGACGTTATAGCCTCTTGTTTGCAGAATTATGTGCGTATCACATTATTGCATTCATTTCTATGCTTGGTCGGCTCAGGAGATTTTTGTGACCTGGCATATGTACTGATTCCTTAAGTTTACGAATTTTCCAATGGTGTTCTTTGTCTATGATCTCAATCTGATCCCACAGAGGGCGGTGATCTCCCTTTTCTCTCCATATGCTTGACCACAAAAATATCCTGAGCCGACCAAGCATAGAAATGAATACAATATGAGAACTAGTAATAAGGAGTACCAGAGAAAAGCGATAACAACAACAAAAATTGCAATATGAGCACTGGTAAAAATGATTGCTGAAGACATTAGGTTTATAATACCCAGAAATTCATACACAGATGTCCTCAATGACACATAGCACAGTGGATAAAGGCGTTAGTTAGACCCTGTGACAGGACCCAAAGAGTGTGAGTTCAATACCCGGTTAAGGCAGTGGAGAACTTGGAGAGGGGAATTAACAGGAGATAACTGACATCGATTAGACATTGCACTTGGAGGTAAAACAGTCTACCCCAGCGAGCGAAATAAAGGGTTCAGTTAGACATTTCAACCTCCTGAAGAAGGCCGAAACGTCTATCTTGATGAGGACAATAGTCCGAATAATGTAAATAGTGTACATAATACCTCATCTAAGAAATATAGACTGATACTAAATGGAATTATGTTGGAGAAACAGGCACAGAATTCCGTCTTTGCTTCAATAACCAATGGACAACAATAACTTTGGTCAACAAAAACAATTCAATCTGTCGCTGCACACTTTAACCAACCGTTCCATATCATTGATGACATCAAATACGTGCTTTTAGTGTCTTCAAATGAAGTAGACAAGAAAGACGTTAAGAGAACTATTGCATTGACAATCTACACTGTTACACTAATTTTACACTAAACTGTGCATTGTACCAACGATGAAAGCTTAGAAGAGATCCAGGTTCCAGGCTTTCTCACTTCTTGTGACAAGACGTGTCTCTTTTCTCCTACGGCCGGATTTCTTAGTCCCAACCGAATCATGTGTCTTATCATATACAACACACTACTGTATATCTTCTTTAAAAATATGAAAAAAGTGATTTCATGAAACCACAATAATACATCAACTACAAACTAACACGCATATATACCGGGTGTAACAGCAAAATTGTCCAAATCAGCAGCAAAATTGTCGTATTAAGCTTTGAAAGGTTGTATTTTAGAAATGACTAAAGATATCTTACTGGAATTGTCAGAGGTTTTTTTTTATAAAATTATTGGTCACTACTTTGAACAATGATAATCTATTTAGCTGTAAGTTGAAATGGTGACCCCTCTCTCTCTCTCTCTCTCTCTCTCTCTCTGTTGTGACCTCCTGATTCAGTTTTCCTCTCTACTGTTCCCTCTTTTTATTAAAAAACTTTTTCACCGTTCTTTTGATAGTCCTTGAACAGACGAAGATGGAAGCCAGAATATGAATGTTGGTACTATTACTGAAGGCCTGGATGATCTTTTTCCTCTCACCGTTGCTTGGTTGAGAAGAGAGTGGGGATGAGATAAAACGATTTTAACCTGTTCCCTTTCTAGCTCAATGGGTTTTTCAGTGGTTCTTACCACAAATTGTTTCAAGAATGGCTAAATATCTTATCTGGCAACCTGGAGAAAAGAAACTCAATTAGTTTAGTGTTTTTAGATATTAAACATTTTGTGGGAGGGACAATTATCCCGTGCTGTTACACGGTTTGAACAATTTTGTCTTACACCTGGTATATATATATATATATATATATATATATATATATATATATATATATATTCCTGAATTATTCATACAAAAAAACAAATACAAAGCGTGCAGTCGCAACGCTGAGTTTGAATTTAAATTTTACAATTGTGCGTTCTTGTACAAATATGGTGATAATTTAATTCTTTTTTTCTGGTAAATTTTCTGTCAAAGTGGCATAATGACAGTAATGTCGCACTTATTATCCAAAAACAATAACTCATTTCTAATAGCATTTTTCGGATTACAATACATATATTTTCGTTGTCCTCTTATTACTGAGAGTAAAAACAAGAACAAAATCTATTCCATACCTGAGGATGTCTGTAGGAACAGACGAAAGCTTGTAAAAATAATAAGAACTTATGCAACAGAAATTTATAAAAACAAGGATCTTTTCTTTCATAAACAGGTTCGGGGTTTTTGTATATTATTTGAATTGTTCGCGACGATGGATTTCTCGCCAATTAAATCATTAACCTTTGTATTTGTTTTTTGTATGGATAATCCATGAATTTGTAAATTAATTGCACCTTTATTGTAATATATATATATATATATATATATATATATATATATATATATATATATATATATATATATTCAACACAAGAAGATATCTCTTTTCAAAAACGTACCCTTAATGACTCCCGGGACAAACGGCTATCCTAATGCCATTACAAGTTTTTCAAACATTGTCAGTCACTTTCTCACTCACAGTAGAAGGTTAGTCGCTTGTTGAAGAATAGATTTTTTCTCATCTTTACCTGGTTCTGTATATAAAAATATATAAAAATCCATGTCTGTTTTGAGTTCACTTATTCTGAGATTGGTAAATGTTTCAAGCGAAAAATCATTGCGATTGGTAGATTTTGATGTAATGTGAACACGCAGATAGAACAAGAAGTCATCTGGCTACGGAATTGGTCGATCTGGATATTAAAGTTCCAGAAAAATTCTTATATGGTTCTTATTATTTCTCAAGGTAGTCTTTGCTTTGTTCTTATACTATTTGTTTTCATAGATGAACCGAAGTCATTGGCATAATTCTCACGATATAACTCTTCCCATTCTGTCAGATTTCCAATTCAATTCTTGGATGACAAATCACTATTTAAAGAGTTAAGCTGTTAGTTTTTTACTCTGTTTATTCCCACGATATCTGATTAAGAAAAAGCAGAAGAACTATGTACCCTACACGCAAACCACCAATCTGCCACTGGGTGACGTGCCACTGGGTGACGTGCCACTGGGTGACGTGCCACTGGGTGACGTGCCACTGGCGTTTACTGCTGGTGTCCCGCTGTCGGACCGCCGGCGTCTTCGTCTCGGCAATGTTACCACTGGCGAACCGCTAGAGGCCAATCAGTGACCCGCCGGTGCCTGCCACCAGAGGACCATTGGCGTTGCCATCGGCAGGCAACCAACGGGCCTCTAGCGGCTTGCGTGTAAGGTAATTAGCAGTTAATATATCTAGAGTTTTATCAATTGGAAAGACATTTTGGTTAAAACAAATTAATAAATTAAAACTTTCTAGGAAGCCGGTAGCCTGATTGGACTGGAGATTTTTTTGTTCTTCGTGTTAAAGTGTTTGAACGCTATTGCGCTAACAAAAATACTCTAAGTTGTTCTGTTTTTGCTATGCCATTTAAATTGAACAACAGGAATACAACTTTTATTTTTACAACTGACAAATCAATTAAATGTATTTGAACAGAAAAATTTTCAAATTAAATATAAAATTAAAGCCAATCAACCTTTAATCAGCTGTTTTGGTCAGATTCTATTATACACCCCCCAATCTCTGGTACCCTCCCCAATGATATTAGCCACCTGCCCCCACTTTTCATATGGCAGTCTTCATATAAAATACAGAAGTTTTTGTAGCTTAAATATGTACAATAATGCAACATAAAGTTCAAAAGCTTGAGATCGGCCATGGTAATTTTTTAAATTGACCCCCAAAATTATTATACACTGTTAAAAGAAAGTGAGACATGATTTTTTATAAGAAATTTTATTATGACAAAAAGAAAAAAGCATTTTATGATTAAATTCTGTTCTCGTCAAAATATCCTTCTTTTCCCTTGATTACTGCAGCACTAATTGTTGGCATTTGTTGCAAAAGTTTCTCAAATTATAAGTTAGATAATTGATTCCATTCTTTTTTCAATGACTCTAAGAGCTCTTTTTTCATTTATTTTACTCTTCTGTCAAGTTCATCCCATGCTAATTCTGGGGGTGGAGAAACTGTATCTAGGGGAACAATATCATATGCAATATAGGTGAACAATTCAACTAGAAAAACTGAAAATATATAAAATGTATCTAAATACAAACTAACGACATGCCATAATAGATCATTTCATCTTAAATAAATTAACAATGTTTTGCATCAATTATTAACATCAGCTTCAGATTTTTCTTGTTAAAAAGTTGAATAATTCTAACAAATTCAACATTATGGATAAAGAATAGTGAATTTTATATAGTACTCTAGAATATAGTACTATATAAAATTATATATATAATCCCTATATTTTATATTTATATTATATTTATATTATTTTATATTATTATAATTTATATACATGTAAAATTATAAATATATATATATATGAATATAGTAATATGGTAATAGTGAAATTTATATAGGGAAGCTTTTAACCTAGCTTAAAATTTTAAACTGGCTGCAATTTTGGATACAAAAGGAAAATAAGAGTTACTCACCTTGAACCATGAAAGCAACGATAATGGCTAGTATAATATTTTAATATATATTTTAGCTCGCATAATCTGGCAACCCTGAATCTGAGCTCAATGAATATCATCAACTACGACTCATTGAAATCGGACCAGTGGGAAAAGAGAAAATTGCTTGGACACACACACGCACAAACACACACACACACACTATACTTTATATATAAGATTTTTCCAATACTCAGCAGGAGTATGACAAATTCACGGACAAAAAGACCCCAGAATGACGCCAAAATCCGAGAAATTTTTTCATCCTTTAAT